CCCCAAAACCCCAAAACCCCAAAAGCTATTTTTAATTAAATTGAATGACTTTTGCTTAAGGTAATCAAGATTTATAATAATTCATCGATTTATTTACCAATAGATATCTGAAGTGAATAGACTTGCTCAGTCAAATTTAAAATTTATCAATGACATCTATCTTCTTAATCTTATCTAGAAATCCACTCTTCCACAAGCCTTTTTCGAGCTTTAATCCCTAGTTAATACTGTTCTAACATTACAATATACTCTAATCTAAATCTAAGTAATCATTAGAACCATTTGGACCCATGTGATGCAGTCCACTCCCTGCACCCTGTCTCTTAACTTTGTTTATATCTGGACTTGAATCTCGAATGTAAGACATCTTATGTTTAGTGAGAGAATGAAAGCTTTTGTCATCATCCATGTGCTGAGACGGAGGGACATACTTTTTGACATCAAACTTAATCTAATCCTGAATGCTCTTGATCTCATCCTGTGTTGCTCTATAAATCTCATCATTTTCCTCTAGTGATCCTGAATCGTAATCTTTATTCTTTGAACGATTCAGTTTTTTTCTTATAATATCATTTTTAACTAGTTTTTATATGAAACTTGCTATCCTTCCATGCTTTTGCTTCAATATATTCTTTTAACGGTCTCTCACTAGATCTTTCATGGTCAAATCTTTTACGTTTTCATTATCAACAAATCTTGAAATTTCTGACAAATTTATATTAATTTTCTAGAATTTTTTATTAGAGTGCGACTTAGTGACGCTTTCATTCTTTTTAAGCAACTTTGGGCTTATGTTTTGAGACATTGCCTTCTTCTTCTGATGCCTTTCAGTCTCATCTTCATATCTGGACAACTAAGTCATAGTAATCATTATGGACGAAGCACTAGGCTCAATATTTGGTTGAATGATATTCCTAAGCAATTATTTCTCTTTAGATTTCTTTTCTTAAATTAAAAACTTTTTAGTCAACTCTAGTGGCGGCAGTTTTTACTGAGTAAAAAGAATGTGACTCTTCTCACTTAGATACCTCTATCTCTTAGGATCTATTTTGCCTTCTCTCACACTCTTACTAAATGAAGAAGCCTTAGTAATTTCTCTCTCCATTTCCTTTGATTTGGAGTTATCAAAGCTATCTTAAGTTATTTGAGTTCTTGTGAATAAACTCATGATTTTTAGCTTTATCATTTTATCTCTGTCCTCTTTGGCTTTTTCATTGTTTTTGGATTGCTTCTAGCGTCTATCATTGCTTCTTGTCTTGCCTGTAGAACTATCAATACTCTCATTGGGTCTTGAGTGAATGTTACTAAAGTTTCTTCTTGTTATATCCATTTAAGAAATGTCTAAGCCTGGACTCATAAGTAGCTTTGATTTTTAGTAAGAAATCAAACCCTGATGCCCATTATAATTTTTAATATACTCATTGTTGTTATCGAAACTGTTGTTTTCTATTATCTTAGGAATTATAATTTGGCGATCCTAAATTTTTCTTCAAAGTTTAGCTCTAAAGCTAGGATTGAAGGAACTAGACTTGAATGATATAGGATTCATTGAATATGAGTCATCTCTGTTTATGAGATAAAGTTACTATTATATCAGACTTTACTTGTTGTCCTATATAGGTGGTTACTAAATAAAGGCAAACATATTCTCTCCTTTATCAATTTAGCTATTCATTGAGCTATTCCCAACTCTTCAATTCTTTATGATAGCCTTCATGCTCTATTGATGTTGATTCTGGGATTGTTGTTATTACTTATGACCATGCTGATTCCAATTCTATACATAGTCAATGTTGTTACTATACTGTCTTAAATCATGATTTGCATTTTTAAAGGGACTACTCAGATTTAGGAAATTATGAGAGAATCGCTATTCACTCATGTCCTAAAGTCTAGCATAGGAAGTTTGCTTGCTGTAAATAGGGTGGTTGTCTCTGTCAATATATAACTAGTGATTGCTCTGATTATTCTATTGTTTCCTTAACTAAGAATAAACAGTTTTCCTAGCGACTGGGGTAACTCCATCGTAAATCGTAGAGCCTATTTCGGACATTAATAACTACTAATTATATTATTCCTGAACATTAATAACTTAATTCTTGTTTAGCAGAGCGATCTTAGACTGTGGGGTTTTGGGGTTTTGGGGTTTTGGGG